CCCCCGGGAATACCATAAGAAGGAAAAATTCCAAAACCTCAGTAATTCTGAGTGTTATACTTCATCGCCAGAACCATTTAGAAACGATGTGTTTTGAAAAATAAACAGGACGATTTTTTAGAAAATAGAGAGGATGATGGATAATGTCCAAAAACATAATACTTGTAGCATTTATAATCTGCTTGAAACTTTCTGTCACTAATATGCGACGGTAATGACTGAAAACAAACACTACAACATACAGCTTTCCTCCTCAGCCATAAGTACTTCAGATTTTCCAATCCCAAACAACACATTTACAGAACTGTAAGTATTACGTTATTTTGACCACGTAACCAAACTTCATACATTCCGTATTCATTTAACAGATGAATGAAATGGAGACTTTTCACAAGCTCAATGTAAACATGCCACTTTTTCTTTCAATTATACACTTAGTTTAAAAAACTTAGTAACAAAGGACAATAATCAGAACAACAATGCTTTCAATCCAGATTTCTATCCCCTCATAAGATTGATGTTTCTGCATGATGTATCATATTTTTTATTTCACTATCCATGCGATTTCTGCATCAACTGAATGGAAACAGCATGATAGGGATTATAAATTATATCCATTAACTCCCAAGAAGGGGAACAAAAACAAATTTGTTCCGAACGAATTCAAATATGCAACCTTACATATCAAAATTATTAGCTCTCTTGTACTTCAGAGATCCTCACTAGCAAGACTGTCACCATATTTACTTCATAATATTCTCATCAGTACCATGTGACAAAGAAACAGAAGTACTATCCTGATAAGATAATAATGACTTCTCATAACACTTGATCATATCAATGAAATGAATATAAAATTAAATGTTTGTGTTACTATGTTCTAAATACTGACTGGAATAATTTTTAGCCAGTAAACGTTATCCTGTGGGGCAGGATAACTCAGCCTGGATAGAAATGGGCTACAGGCTGGATGGCTGGGTTCAATTCCTGGCAAGGTAAGAGATTTTTCTCTACTCCACAGTGTTCAAACCAGCTCTGGAATCCACCAAGCCTCCTATACAGTGGGTACTTGGGGCTCTTTCCATGAGGGGTAAAGTGGCTGGGGCATGACACTAACCACTCACCTCCATCTAGAGTTGAGGTCAATAATGGTGCAGCTATATCTCCACTCTCCCATATGTCTTCATGGCATGGTGCTTAATTCATTACGCACAGGGCCAACTTTACTTTTACCTTTAAACGTGATATCAATAAAAATTAATTTTAACTTTCACCCAAACATAATTCCACAATGGCATAAAAATAGTGTGTGGCTTTCAAATATGAAAGTAATTTGAATTCCTACACTAAAAAAACAAAAATCGTCTAAACTAAATTTTGGATAATGAACACAACAATTCAAGTAACTGTATGTAAACTAAAGCTGAATCCAATCAACCTACTAAGAACTGCAATACCAAATTTCATCAAAATATGTTTAACAAGAGCCATTTATACAAATTCAGTCACAGTAATCAGTTTTGCAAAATTAATTTAAAAATTATATAAGACTTCACCAATTTTCAGTGCACAGCAGGAAGAGGAGAAAGCCTGAATGAGATGTGACAATTGAACAGGAAAGCAGTTTGTCATAAGTTCACCTTCAATGATGATATTATAATTTAGGATCAACAGATTTACCAAACCATGCAAAAGTCATGGCAAAATTGTCTTACCCTAGTATACTGAGACATATTTTTCCACACTTGTACATGTTTGGGTTGAAACGGACAGTTCCTCCACCCGTTGTCATCAGTTTCACTCGAGGTGGCCTGATGGGGTAGTCAGATGGGCAGCGGATAAGGAAGTAGAAAAATCCACCTTCATATGGAGTATCAAATGACCCAGTGATAAGTGCATGGATAATGGTCATGTCATCCTCATCAGGAACAACAAACAACCCTGGTGGTGGTTCATTGTATATAGACATCAAATCCCTGTGAAAAAAGAAATATAAATGGCATGAGGGGGACGATCTCAGAATCAACTACTTCTGATGTAACAGTGTGTCTGACTTTGGGCATTTTATATTACCAAGTAACTACACAACAAAACAGAGACACTAAACGAATATAATTTTCATAATTTTTGTGCTGTTTCAAAACTGTGTGCTTGAAATGAAGAAACAATGTTTAATACAGTTATGAATTAAAATGAAATTTTAAAAATTAATGCTGAAGGAAAAGCATCTTACACTTTCAACATAAATGCTTTCACGAAGAATTAAGGGGAGGGGGGTATTAATGCCATTACGTGTATGTCGTAATTCATTATTCGGCTAATACTACATGTTTCTGACTTCAATTTCTGCTTTATCATGATGTTGATAAAAATATTCTTAAATCACAGAGAAATTTTATCTGATTCAAAATGGATGATCAGACACTCGTTTAATTTTATTGAATTGAATTTATTTACATTCTATAAATCCTAAGCAGGTTAGTACCTATGGATACAGAACAAGTCAAAAGGTTACATACATAAGTACAGGCAATTTTAGCTTAAAAATTAATATAACTTAATTTTACATCATTCTCTATTTACATTGAAGTATTCATCTAAAGAGTAGAAGGAATGAGCATGTAGATAATCCTTTAACTCTGATTTAAACTTTTTAGTATCATTGCCCAAGTTTTTAATACTTT